TCACTCTTTTGGCACCCCGGGCTTTGGGGGCCCCCCCCCCCCCCCCCCCACCATTTCACCTGGAGCAACACGCCCCCCCCCTCGCTGCGTACCTTCCGCAACGGCTATCGTAGGCGCCGGGATGCTGGCCACCTTCGACATGAGCGATCGCAGTCTCACGACGAACAGCTCGGCTTCCGGCTTGGTCATCACCGCACGCTCCTTGAGGTCGGCGCCGGCGCAGAACACCCCCGGTACTCCGCTGCTCAGAACCACCGATCGGACCGACCCGTCTCGAGAAACGGCTTCGACGGCATCCTCTAGCTTCGTTCGTTGTATTGTCGTGGAGCCGTGGTGCGGCGAGATATATGAGTGTTTGGTGGTTTTTCACCAGTTGGTTGTGCCGTTATTCGCCGTCGTTTTTTTTTTTAAGAAGACAAGGCGAGGAGCACGAACGGGGGCGGGGGACGGTGAGCGGCTGTGTGGTTTCGTGGCATGCTTAAAGCCGTTACAGGCGTACTGTCAGCAGTCTGCCAATCATGGTGCTTGTGCTGCCGTGTAGATAGAGCAGCAGCAGCAGCAGCAGCACAGCATCGACACACCATCTAACGAACTGTGAGGCTGAAACACTACAGGTCCACGCGGATCTGCATGTGCTACTGCCAAGCACAACTGGCAAGATGCCCACGCTGACCAAAACATGCACCGGGAATCCCCAACTTCGTGTTCTCGCAGCGAAGCTGCTCCCAGTCAAAGAAAACTATGCTGCAACAACGTACTCAGTCGAAAAGTTTGTTTCCCCAACGTACCTCCGAGATCAGCTTCAAGCCCAGCGCGTTGGCCTTGGGGTTCTTCATCTCTAGTCTCACGACTCCTGTTGACGGAAAGCGCGTCCGCGAACGGGTGTCCGGTTTAAGGGGAGGAGTTTGATGAACGCAACCGCGCAAGGGATGCTGCTGAGAGCTACGTATACGCAGACAGCCCCCGGTGTTGTCGTTGTTGTTGCTGCTGCTTGCATTCGGATGAGCCCCAAACAACCAGAACAAGGTTCAAAGTTCCGAGCAAAAAACTAGGCGCTTTCTCCAATCAACCTCAGGGATTGATTGATGCCTCGTGCTACTCTTGAGCAATAGATAGCAGACGTTGACGTAATCATTCAGCCGCCACGGTATATGCTTGATTCATGTGTCCGTGAGACCGTACCAGCTAACCGCGGGGGCAAACATTGGCTGCAAGTTGCAAGCAGAGGAGGAATCTGGGAAAACTGCGCGCATTGCTGCAGAGCTCGAGAAAAAACTTCAGCAAAGCCTTTGCACACAGGTGTTTGTCATTCGCGTTTGACGGCAAACGCAGGATTGTCCCGCAGCCTGCACAGACGGCGTCGCTCGCAACGAAATCACTTTGGTGACTTGGCTGATACAACACGTTCGTACCCAAAGCCGGGGGTCAGACTCCCTCCAGATATACTCAGATCGACTTTGAAAAAGGCAGAGCTACCGTCATTGGCGTCAGATATCGCCTTTGTTTGTGCATCTGATCTACAGCAGTACACACGTGTTGCCCCCTACACAAAATTGAAAAAATGTACAGACAAAACATCACGCCGCCGGTTTCAGCGGGGTCAATTTTGTTTCATCCCCTCCCCAGATTGGACATGGCTGACCCCAGTCCTTTCACCACCACGTGCTCCTCACACAGACCTCGGCGTGCCACCAAAGTACACAGGCACCTCCCGCAGGTCATACCCTCCATCGGAAAGCAGTTTTCACCATTTAATTTTGCTTTGGACGTGAGAAATGCCTCACGATCACATCTGAGTTGAACCAGCTTTCTGCTGCTGCGCGCAACCTTTTCAGCCTGTGTGAGCTAACTTTCACCTAGGATTGCTGAAACACTACAGTCCCCTGATTCGGCCGATACTTGGCCATAGTGGAGATCAAAGACAATAGAACGATGTTATGATGTGCACGATTGGGGATCAGCACTGCAGGGAGCGCAGTTGGCCTGCGAAAGTCGGCCCAAATTCAAGTCTATGCTCAAGTAGTCAGCAGCGTGGTCAGCAGATAGGCCTCAACAGCGATCATGCGTCTACCTCCGAAAACATCATACTTCGAACTAGAAATCTAAACCTGGAAGCACGCACCGAGCTTTCAACATGGTTTGCTAAACACATAACCTTAACCAGACCTGACAGAAATGGGGGTGTGGGCGTCTATTTATATGTGTGGGCAAGGCATATCGGATGTGCACGATTACCGTAGACGACACAAGATAACACACCCACATAAGAAACCACACCCCCCGCAGAATACGACACCCCGGTGATAATTTTCGGCGTTTCTGACAAACCATCGATTTATCACCGGGGCTACATAAGATAACACACCCCTTGAGGTTACGCCGCAGGCTCCTCCGTCTATCACCGGGGTGATGCAACATCTGCCGCGTGGGCACGTGAGTATCTCACACACACAACATCTGCGTAACTCTCTTTTGGTCGTACCCAATAGCAAGGTATGCAGGAGCATACTTTTTGTGTGAGGGGGCAGGACGGATGGCGCACTCTGTGGCCACTGAGTCATGTACTCCGGAGTCGTCACCTCCGTTGAGATCCTTTGTTTTACTACATTCTGCAGAACCACAAGCCATGAAGTGTTCGTACAGGCGTTGCTATCACATCCCGGCAAAACCAACCAAGTGTGCGGCAGCAGAGGTTCAACTCGACAAGAAGTGTTGTAACACCTGTTTATCACACACCCTCATTATCACACCCAAAACACACCCTGTGGGTATTCGGACGTGCTAGCACACACCCTTACCCCCTCATTTATCACACCCCAAACACACCCTGTGCGTGTTCGGACGTGCTATCACGCCCCTTGGTTTATCACACCCCGTTAAGGGCCCAGGCGAGCTGCACTTTATCACCCGGGCTACATAAGATACCACACCCCCCACAGGATACCACATCCGGTGATAATATTTTTAAAGCCCAAAATATTAATAAAAATATTATCACCGGGGTGTGTTATCTTGTGTCGTCCACGGTAGTCTAGGGATCAGCACTTACAGCGAGAGGTAGAGCAGAATAACTCAAAACTCCATGCGGAGCGACCGCCAGGGGATGTGATTCCAGGATTTGGAATGTCTGCATAATAAAAAAAATGGTATTTTTTCCATAGGGGGCAACACGTGTGAGTACAGCATCGGTGCATGGATACACCACTGCTGTGTGTGTTTTTATTATTCCTTAATGGATACACCACATGCATACGCGGCTTCCTGCCGAGGGGCGCCGCGGTTGCGCGCTGGAACCAAGTGCTCAAATATACATCCATCTCATGTACGCAAGCGTACCAAGCTTTTGGCGACGAACACGCAAGGACGACTGCCCAGTGATTACCTGTCGATACAGAGCAGGGCAACATCACAACAGCAGTAGGACCCAACGACTGCATCATCGTGTACCGCTGTCAAAAACTGCTGCGGGTAGTCTGTAGTGTAGTGTGTACTGTAGATCTTTGGCAAATCTGGTAAGTCAGTCTCACCTTTCAAATCGCCGTCGAGCCGATCAAAGCCAAGCATGCTGGCGCTTGCGGCAACCCCACCCAAACGCCGGCACCCAGAGCGGTAGGAACCACATGTTTTGGTACCCGCAGCCACAAGCAATCGGCCGTACATGGCCCTTCAATGTGATGAGGCGGCGGGCACTTCAATCAACAATCAACGGATCAGAGCACCAGAATGGGGGGGGTATTCATTTCCCGTCGCCCCTTCAGCTGGTTAGGCCGCACCCACCTCCACCAGACTCCAGACCTATTGTAACACATCAGCTACGGAGACAAGGATCGGAGAGAGTGGGGCAAGAGAGGACGGGAGAGAGAGGGAAAGAGAGGTGAAGCTTGTGGGCAACTTGGTGCTTTCTACAGCACGGGAGTGTGGCGGAAGGGTCGAGCCGGGTAAGCGAGTCAACTGGGTAAATATGTTGCAAATGGGTTGTTTTACAAACGCAGCACAAGCAGCAGCAGGTCGGAGCGTCTCCACGGATGCACTGCAAAATAAGTTGGTGCAGCGATGGCATCAAGACTATAATAGTATCTGCACCTATCGCGGTGCACGATTGAAGACTGCGGTGCACGAGCCGTTGGACATTTGTTTTGTTATTTCGTTGCTGAGTGTGCTCGACCTCTATTATACTAATACCTCTACCTACGGTATCTGCTACCAGCAAGAGCCATTCAACTACAGTAGGAGGCCCGATATAAGGCGGTGGTGTGTGTGGTGAAGGCAACCGCCTTATATCGGGCACCCGCCTTATTCCTGAATAAGGCGTTGACCGCCTTATACACTGTCCGAGAATACCCCAATACCGCCGTATTCAGGACAAATGAAGATAGGAGGTTTCGGCATTGTGGGTATCACCTCACGGGGCTTTGCGTGAGTGGAAGAAAATGTCCACGCGCTATGCACTCACGCGTTTACAGATGAGCGTGAAATTTGCCATTATTTTTTGCCTATATTGTGTAGTGTTCCAGCAGTTTTTGTGTAGAGTACACGTATGCACGTACATCGTACATGACGGTCAAACCACCTGTCCACACCAGCCTTCACTCTCCGATGCTAGTGCGAACGGACATTGAGTTGATGTTTCTTCGTGAAGAACTTAAAAAATACGCTGGTATAATAGCCAATATGGACCCACGCATAGGTGCAAAAGGAAATGTGATACCGACACACACACTACTTGCCCCGGCGCTTGTACCTCTAAATCTGCAACCACTTCTTTGCGGCACACCTTGCTCTACGTAAGACAACAACAGCTCATAGAATCCATCTCCGTCTACAGGAACTCTCTCATGTCCGACTGCCGCACGGGTTTAGACGCGTGAGCTTTGATCATCGCCATTTTGGCTTTCTGAAGGTGAAACGCGGCATCCCGATTGCCGGACAGCCTGACTGCCCTTTCCAGAGAGCCGAAACGTTGGGAGAGTTCGGAGTAAGGCGGTGGCTCAATGCCTGCCCCACCCCCGCCCTCCCCTTGGCTTTCCCCCTCCTCGTCATCAAAGGCATCCGCATCCGCATTGAAGGTGCCATTCAAATGCTCCCGTCATCTCGTCCATCGCGTCCTGACGAAAGGCCTCTACGACTTCTTCCTGGTCCTCGAATGTTGCCCACTCATTGAACGCTTTGATGGCAGCCTCGCCCGCAGCCTCGCCCGGGTTCATGTCCAGGTTCGCCAAGAGGTCAACGATCTCTTCGTCGGGGGGCGATCCAGGTTCGTTTGCTTCGGCAACACGAGAGCTCACTTTGTTGATGGTGTCTGCGAGCTCTTCCACCGGGTCTTTCGCCGGGCGCTTGGATCCCGCTTGTCCCACCTTTCCGTGCTTTGCCATGAGCTCCTCCTCCATCTTCTTCGGGAGGGTCGCAGCCTTGACCCAGCACCTAAGTGTGAAGAAGAATTGTGGAACGACTGTTTAAAATACGTGAAAGGCAGTTTAACGAGACACTTGGAAGTAAAGTTGAGGCAATAGGTTTCTCCAGGAACGAAGACTAGGCTCATAAGGAAACGCTCCGGAAAGACGAGAGGGTTTGGCGAACAAAAAAAGGAGTAAACAGTAGGGCTTGTCGCAAGCAGTACGTCGGGCAAGAGTCACACAGTTGGTCCTTTCACCGTACCTGGCAATGGTCTGCGTGGTGACCTTGCTCCACGATAGCTTCAGGAGGTCCGCGGCGTCGGACATGTGTGGGTGGCTTCCATTAGCCAATCCTTGCGTACCTCTCGCCATCTTGCGCCCCTTGGCCTCGGCGCGCAGTTGCGCAGCCACTAGCATGATCGACAACTTGACGTCGAGCAGCTCCCTCCTGTAGAGCACCTTCGTGGCCGCAATGATCCCCTGGTCCATGGGCTGGTGTACGCTAATGCAGTTCGGCGGGCACACCATCACCGTCACCTCTCCCTTGTCATCTTCTTCTTCTTGCAGGTCTTCGTGCGACGAGCAGCCGTCCATGAGTAGTAGCTAATAGGTTTCTCCATGAGTACATAGGTAACCGCCTTAATCGGGTTTGAGAGTGGTAGTAACCGCCTTATATAGGGCCAGACCCGGTATAAGGCGGTGGCCGCCTTACACCGGGTCTGAGTTGTGCGCGCAGATTTCGGCCGCCTTATATCGGGCCCTCGACTGTACTGACTACAAGCGGTATCTGGCAGCTGGTATGCATACAATCTGGTGCTGTAATGTACACTACGAACGATGTACTTCGAGTAATGCATACAGCAGTCTACCAGTGACCTGCATGTCGTCTAGTGGACATGTGGATATACACCCACACGTCGCCCTGGTAGCGTCGACTAGGAACGTGTTCCAGTGGTGTCCAAGGTCAGGTAAATGTAGTATTGAACCAATTTACGTTTTTCTCGAAGCACGCCTCGGGCAAAGCACCTCCCGGCTCCAGACCAACAAACGCACCTGCTTCTTTTGCTGCGATTACCGGCCTGCTGTACATGTTGTAGGTCAGATAGATATCAACCCCCCTGGACCGATTGTTCAAGCCCAGTTGCTGCACGACGAAGAGGACGTATTCATGAAACGGTCTGTTGTTTTTCTCGACGAACCGGTTGCAATGCCGCCATTTTCCGCATATGACCACTGTTTTCTGTTTTCTGCTGTGAGGAGTGTACTGCTGTAGTAGAGCTCTGAAATCGATCCGGGGCTCTGCGATTGCCGTGATTCGTGTCCTGTGTCACCTACGGTGGACCCCTCAACCAGAGCAGGGTACTGTAGACCTTCGATTCACATGTTTGTCGTGCCTGCCGTTCAAACTGCGGCAGGCAGCAGTAACCCCCCTGCACAACATAAAAATGCCCTCTCTATTTCTCTATGCCTTATGTAGGTCACCCTATCTACCTTTTCGTAGCTGTAGCATACCGCTCGGCAGGAAACTGCCCCTTGGCAGAAAACAGGACTGGGCTGTTCAAAGCGCGCTGAGAATATTGGTGTCCAAAGAGCTGCCAGCCCAACCAATGACCAATGACCAAAACAAATCATTGACAAGAATGACCCCCCCTTCCTTGCTCCTGGAAAACGAACATCCTTATCCTTCCACACCGGGGTCGGCGGCGTGGCCACTTACCTCCTTCCTAACTGTGTGTGCATGCCACTTTCAGCTTGCAGGGCGCCCCCCTCTGCAGGCTCTTATGATTTCTCCCCGCTTGTTCGGCCACGGACAAGCTCGACAGAGCCACCGCCACCACCTCAAGATGATCTACATGTACCGCAGAAGCGCGCCTAAGAGGTAGGCAGTTCAAAATGTTCAATTTTCACAAAAAAGCTTGAACCCCGCCCGTGTTCTCTGTTGGAATCCCCACAGATTCAAGGAGCGAGGGGTGCCCGACAGTAAGCGGCTCTTCATTGAGGGCTGCGTTTGTAGTATCGTGCTGCCGAACGAACGATGTCTTGGAGACGGGAGCAAGAGCTGGAGCGCGTTGGAATCGATGAGCCCGAGGTGAGAATTCACGGTTTACGGATACTTCCATTTGGAAGACATGCCGCGCGGTATTCTGTCCTCTTGAATGAAGACTGAGGGTGATTCCATCTGGAGACGGGCGGAATACGTGAGGTTCCATAATTTACAAGAGTGGCGATGCAATACTTCCATCCGGAGACCGAAGGAAAATCAAGTTTCACGGAAAACCAATTCCATTTGTAAGACTCAAGGCACAATATTTATTGTCTTCCGCCCGAAAACCGGCGAAAAAATTGCGTTCCATCTCAATCAAGACTGACGGTCCGGTACATTTCCATCCGAATGATGCCGGCGTTACGATGAGGTTGCTTTCAAGACTTGCCGTACGATGAGATTGCATGAGAGTGTAGCGCGTAGGAGCCAAGGGCAAAGTGCCTCCATCGAAAAGGCGCAAGGTAAGGGATGTTCTGTTTCACTGAAAAAACAACTTCTTTGGCTCTTCTTTTAGAGTCTCTTCTTTTCTTTCTCCCATTGGTCGTGAAGGCGAAGTGGCCCCGCGCAGAGTCAAAGAACGCTAAGATAGGCGCGGAATCGATCGGGCTTTGTTTACGGGACCCTCCACGGAGGCGTGCATGGCTAGGGTAACGTGGTCGCCTTCTTCCTGCCCGGTGCCGCCGCGGAGGGCCTCACCCGAACACAGAAAAGAAAGTCGGGGTGTAGGCGTTCGCTGAAATCGCGAATATGGCTGTAGGGTTTTTCCACTTGCGTGTAAGTGTTTTTTTTTTGTCGCCGGTCGTGGTTTCGTTTGGACACTGTCGTGTCTTACTTTGAGAGGGGGGCTCTCGTTCGCTTTTAATCTTGTGCCCGCCCCCTCCCCAGCCCCCCGTTGTGGGAACCATTCCCCGTCCTCTGGAGCACGCGTGGTCAATGGTCAAATTACTAAGGCAAGCAACAAATGAGTACGCCCCCCCCCCATGTAGTCGCGGAATGTCCGTGGTACGAAGAGGAGAGGGAAGTGTACATGACTGAGCTGGGAAAAATACAAGGGACGTACAGGGAGATATTTGAGGCATGGAATAGAGAGGAGAGGACGGTAGCTGTACTGGGGAGTAGGAAGTGGTTTGAAAAGGCGGGAAGGGATATCGTTAGGATAGACAGACTAGGGAAGACATTTTTGAGCCCCCTTTGGCAAGTAGGAAGGGACGATTGGCCATCGGTGATCGGTCCTGTGGGAACAATGCTCCGTCCTCTCGAGGACGCGTGGTCAATGGTCTAACCGTTAAGGTATGCAAAACATAAGAGTACGCCCCCCCCCCCTTGTTTTGTCGTTGTGCTCTGGTGGTGTCTGTGTCTGGCAGGCACCTCGAAAAGTACCCAAGAACGAGGTGTCGCTGGACAGGGCCAATGATGCCTGCTGGCTGGTCAAGTGCACGGTGAGCGGTTGCGGTGTTGCTTTTGTCTTTCGGACCTCACAGACCTCTGCGACTACTGCTGTACCCTGCTCTCGCTGTACAGACAGTACAGTCCCCTATTTTGTTTCAAAGTATGCCGCCGCCGCCGCCGCCGCCGCCGCCGCCGCTGCTGCTGCTGCGGAGGAAATGCGAATGGCGTCGGCGTGAGTTGTACCAGACCAGTATGGGCGTTGGAAGAGACTGAGCGGAGATCGGAACGTTTTTTATTGTCGAGACAACAATCAACCAAGGACGACGACACCAACCACATAGCAACATCACGTAGCAAGAAGCTACCGCCGCAGCTACAAACAGCAAACACGACAAACTCAACACTAACATCACTCACTAACACTACCACTCTACAGCCGAGCGTGTGGAAAGCTTGGGAAGGCCTGGAAGAAGGAGCGAAGCTGGGCGAGCTGGTGGTGAAGACAGTCAAGAGAAAAAAACCGGACGGCTCTATTGTGGAGGAGCAGACCATGCAGGTCAAGCCCGGGGTGAGTGAGATGAGACGGAAGAGATGATAAGGGGAACAACTGACGTGTTCGCCTCGGAAGACGCCGGCTGCGGCGTTGCTGAAAGGTTCCAGGTTTTCCTGAACTAGCAGGATACACGGCTGCTGCTGCTGCTGCTGCTGCTGCTGCTACTTCTACTGCTGTGCGTGCGTACTCTCTTAGTTAGCATCGATTGCTAACCAGCTGACCACTGAAAATGAAAATACGCCAGGCAGTCGTAGCGGGATAAAAAACACCAAAACTTTCTGGAACAAATAAGGTGTGCGTGTTTCTGGAATGAGTACCCACCGCGCGAGCCGGCTGTCTAATGAAAATGAGAACTCGTCAGACTTGTAGCGGACGTTAATCAAAAGTACAACAGTATGCTATCGATAGGGGGAGCGCAGGGGTTGTGCCACAATGTCCTGCTTCTGAAGTACAAGGAGAGGACTCCATGTCACCGACCAGCGTTGCTGCTGCACCATCTGTTTCTCCCATGCCACGTGTAATAATAGCACCATTGCCCTTTACTGGATTGCTCTCTATGCTCTCTTATGTATGTGTGTCTTTTGTTCCGACTCGTGTATGGTGCATCTGCACCTGTCGGTGTTACTTTTGATTGATGCACCAGCCGGGGTCACACAGGAAGAAAAATCCACCTTTCCTCCTGCTGTGCGCTTGCCTTCAATGCGCATCGCGAGAAGGCCCCTTCCCGCTTTGCTGTTATTGCAGTACTCACGACCCCGCCGCGCTTTCTCTTTCCTTCATCCCAACTGACGATTCACTTCGCTTTCCGGCTCGCGAGCGGGTTGTAACACATTTTCATATGGAAACTTCGTCTTAGTTGATACCGGCGTTTATGATGCCATGCTCACCCCCCCGTAATTCAGTGTGTGTACTACTGCTGCGTGCTTTTTGATTGTGATGCCAGTTCAACCCCTTGTAATTCAGTGTGTGTACTACTGCTGCGTGCTTTTTGATAAATTGTGATGCCATGTTCAACCCCTTGTAGTTCAGTGTGTGTACTACTGCTGTGTGTTTGTTGGTATTTGTGATGCCGTGTTTACTTGAGTCCTTCCGGGTTCTTTTTGCTGTAAATGCCGAACCAGGGGATGGTGACACACTTCAAGGGGGGGGCCAAGGCCAAGCTGGGGGACTATTGGTTGTCGACGGAGCGGAACATAGAGGACTCGCTAGCCTTCACCAGACCAAAAAGCGGGGCAACAGGTTGGTGACTAGTTGACACTTGCGGGAACTTGCAGGGAACCAAAAAATATTCACGAACCCTTTAGATGAAGATAATACGGGGAGATTTGTAGAAGTTGGTAGAAACGGCGGCCGTTCTTGTTCCTAATAGTCGAAAAATGTTTGTCTTTTCACTAGAGTATAAAAGAATGCCCGTAGGCACGAGAACCGCGGAAATGCTGGTGGAAAAACGTCTCGTACTTTGCCTCGTCGAGTTTTGGAGATCATTATATCATAATGTCATAACGGGAAGAAAGTGTCGGGTGCGAAATACGGAATACGGGTGGATGGACACTGCTGTCTGTGAAGGAAAATGGAACATCGCGAAGAGACCGAAGTAGCCGACTTGATCTTAGGGTTTTTGGTTGGGTGGTGGGGTTCATAGATTTATAGAAGCCGAAATCAAAGCGTTAGACTAGTCAGCTAGGTTGTAGCAATGTTTGAGGTGGTTTATCTTGTTGGTTTACTGTTTGGTTATCGTGGAATCTTGCTGTAGCGTCCGTTGGATTGAGAACGTTGACGTTGACATGGGAAGACGCTTAGATGGAAGTATTATGTATTGGAGTAAACGTTCTCACTGGCAATTCCACTAAGGGGATCGTGAAGTGGCTAGTGCGGTCGGCCTGCTTCGTTGTTGCTGTTGTTGTGGCCTGGTGGTGGTGGTGGTGGTGGTGGTGGTGATGAGCAAGGGACGAGCGCTGCCGCTGTCGTGACCTGTCTATCATGGCCATGGCCACGCTCTTCCTTATTTCTTCACAACGAGGTTCAAACATGACCTTGCGTCACGACTCTGCTGTTCTTCACATTGTAGGCGTATGATTTTTTTTTTATTATATAGTTATTCCATCTTGCTTCGACACTTGTCGCCCGGTACTGCTGTAGGTACGACAGCGATCGTGTCCACCATCAAGAGGCAGTACCTCATGCAGCCGGAAGTGGGCTCGGCCTACACCAAAGTGGTCAAGACTCGGTTGGTGGCCAACACCATCAAGGCGCGGTGAGTTTACCGCCGTCATGACACTCATGACACGCACCATAAACACACCCCGCTACACTGCTGTAAAACTGTACCCCCGTGGAGTCACTGGCAGCGTGGTGTAGTGTACCAAATCTCCCCATTTTCGGCACTAGAACCTCGTTCGTACCAACGAGGAAAGGGTGTGCTGCACTTGTCATGGCTTGTGTGTCGCCAAGTTATTTTGGACGTTGATTTATTCATCACCCTTTTTTCGGTGAGTTTACCCCGGCGTTTTCACGCATCGACCGGGGTCATACGGGAGGAAGGCCGATCAAGAGCCCCCCCCCCCCATTCCTCACACCACGGTGCTCACGGTGCTCTTTTTTTGTTTGTGTGTGCTTGTGAACACGAGTCAGCTGTTCTCTTTCCCCCGTCGACCGTAGCAGGGCCAGCCGTCAACTCTGCACACGGGTAGCTTGTTTGCGACAGATTGCAAGAAGATTAACGCCGCTATTGCGTAGGTCCCTTCCACTGCCACCCTAAAGTTGTGTCCCTATTCTATGACACTGTAGATGGTTAGAATGTTGGGTACAGAACCACTGTGTTGCAGGAGCGGTCCCTGCGGCAGACCTTGACACGTTGACTTGACAAGAAACACGATAAACGGTGTAGAACACTTGCTGACTTGACCAACGTTAATGTTTTCGATCAATGTTAATGTTTTCGATCGTGCAGGACGACCGAGCCGGTGGCCATGTCGGAGGTGCACAAGGCCGCGAGGGACAACATGAACCGAAAAGGGACGGCGTTCGACGCTGCTTTCCACGCCGCGCAACAGGTACGTGGTTCTTCGCACATGCTCAATACAGAAGCAGCGGATAAGTTGTGGGTTTGAGAGAGATTGTTAGAGAGAGGTGGGTTTAAGATAGAAAACAGTGGATGGCCCCAGCCATGAGAGAAAAATAGGTACGTGGTGTGGTTTAATAGAAAGCCGATTAAGGAGAGCTCCGCATTGGCTCGTCCCGCCTGGCTGGTTCCGACCCTCCGTTGAACCCTACGGTATGCATACATATTTCGTTGTACTGTATGCACACCATACACACGTCGTGGTTATCCATACACTGCTGTACGTGATCTTTATCCCTGCAGCATAC